GCCTGACATATTATGCGGATCCCAACTGAATGGCACGAGGTATCGCACTCCAATAATACTGGAGTATTTGTACCTAGAGATGAGTCGTAGGACCATATGTATGAAAATCATTTGCGAACTAATGTGGCTTTGACGTGAGGCACTAATAAATCCAGCTGAATCGCGTGCAATTTGGGTTCAAGTAGAAGATCGGGTTGACGGAAACTCCGAGATTAAGCCTACTTGATTAGCCCATAGAGTTACGAATCCGGTCCTGAGCTGTCGAAGAGTTCTCAAGAAGCTAAAACTTGGCACTTTTTGTCAGTACCTTAAATCTCGAGCCTCCTGCCAACTGGAACATAAGGCGGTAGTTGCGAAGCATATTCGATTTAGTCTTCGGGGTATTTCAAAATGTTAATTAGAGCAAACCTGCCACAACAACGCCAACTTAGCTTACCAAAAATACGCCGTATTCGGTACCGAACAATTGGACGTATCAACCATCACCTCCTACATAACCTTCCATTTCACATTTCACTGAAAGAATGGACGCGGCTTCCGGTGGGTGGGTGAGTGACATAGTTGAGTGCACGGGAGTGTGTTTGCATCTTGACTGGTTTTTTTTTGACACAGCTGTCTACTCAAAGGGTTTTCAGCAACTTCTGAAGAGTTTGTTTTGTGTAAACAGAACGTTCTTCGAATGTATTCTACACCGGAACATCCGAGGACCTGATGCAGCACATTCAACTGGAGCGAACCATCATAAAAGAGACCATGGAATGGATTCGGTGGAGTGTGCCGTCACAACCTCATCCGCATGCAGCTGAGAATATTTTTCTCAATCTTTCAAATTCGCGTTCAAGTAGAACATGAGATTAACAAGGATTGAGGGACTCTGGCTAGCTGATGAGCTCCAGGAAGAGCGAAACCGGTTGTCAAGTGTCTATGTGTTTTCAGCATCTTTCTGTGTAATGTATTAAAACGGTTATTCTAGGGAAGTGGGTGTACGACCAATTTACCTTTCGCGTAAGAGGTGGGGATGTTTTTCTTTGCGGAGTTTGATTCACGAGTCAACTGGAAACTGTGTATATTCTCCTTTCTAACCGAAACTGTTATAGGCTTAAGAGCTCTTGGAAGAAGCCCAGTTAATAGTTGTTCAGTGCATTTAACAGCAGCTCGTCCGTGCAACTGAAAGGCATTCAGCTAGTCTATTTTTAAATTTGGGATCAGGTATGTACAAGAAGCGGCTAAGTCATTTCTCAAACTGGAGACTTGTTTGACCACTCAGCGATGCTTGACGAGTTAGTCGCGATATTCAGACCGCAATCTCATTCGCTAACTTTCAGCTGGACAAGCGACCTGCCTACATTTTTGCCAGCATATGGCAATATATGTTCATCGCATTTTTTGGCAGGCAGTTGTTTTGTAGTCTGTTTAACAAGTTACATTTTGGAACTCGTCATTGTCTGCTCGTCCTGCTGAGAAAATCAAGTCCCGTGCATCCAGAAACCAGCGACATTACTTCTAATATGGAATGCCTTACTGCAGCTATGTGATAGGTGCAGTTCCCACCAAACGATGCTATCAATCAGGCCTTCCGACTAAACTGTGCTGCGCCCTGCCGAAACGAATATCACTCCCAATTCAGAAAGCTTGACTGAATTCCCTAGCGGTATCCTACGATCGAAGCACGTTTGGGAGGAAGGCGAATGACGTGGAAGAGTTTATCTTCAACTCATTCAGTGAAGGAATACAGTCATAGGAAACTCAGTGGTCTAAGGAAACCTCTCGTACTGAAAATCAAGCGATTCCCCCTTCTTGCTCATCACACTGAGGTTATCCGGTCTGTACATTTGCTACTAAACCGTTAGCTGTAGCGCCCTTCAGGTGCCTAGCTGCCATGCCACCCGAAGGAAGCACGAGGGCTGGGATACTGCCAGGTTGCCCAAGCCTAGACAGGGGAAGTCGAGAGGCAGAGGTCGGGTTCGAACTACGCGGTCAGCAAATTCGCGCTCTAACCACTTGGACCATCTCGCCCCCATGTTCTACTAACCCGATAAATGTAGTCGATCCTTGGGCTTGCCTAGCCGCTTCATTTTCTCAGACTACTTAGGTAAACCGGTTCCGATTTACTAGTGGACGATTTCGGGGGAAACGCGGCGAGTTCCTCTTTAACTTCCATTAGAAAATGTGGTCTTATTTGTCCATGGTAGAAAATATATCATTTTAAGGTGGTGTCTTATAAAATTGTGTTTTGTTGTCGTTCGGATGTTCCAGACGTAATTACTTCTTGGGCAGGGGAGCCTGCTTATCCTACATATGCTCGGCATGTTAAAATCTTCCCGGAGGATTCGAGGGGAGTGATATCATTTCACGGTGCACGTTGTTTATCCGAACTAATGAACCGATTAGAGAATATTCAAAGCTTCGATAACTACGTGTCCCAGTGCAAGTGTATGCGAAGCGACACGACGGAATGTCGATTTTCTGTTGTTTCCCTTTCGCCTTTGAACATATATTGGTGATGAGTATATATGTTCATCGCATTTTTTGGCAGGCAGTTGTTTTGTAGTCTGTTTAACAAGTTACATTTTGGAACTCGTCATTGTCTGCTCGTCCTGCTGAGAAAATCAAGTCCCGTGCATCCAGAAACCAGCGACATTACTTCTAATATGGAATGCCTTACTGCAGCTATGTGATAGGTGCAGTTCCCACCAAACGATGCTATCAATCAGGCCTTCCGACTAAACTGTGCTGCGCCCTGCCGAAACGAATATCACTCCCAATTCAGAAAGCTTGACTGAATTCCCTAGCGGTATCCTACGATCGAAGCACGTTTGGGAGGAAGGCGAATGACGTGGAAGAGTTTATCTTCAACTCATTCAGTGAAGGAATACAGTCATAGGAAACTCAGTGGTCTAAGGAAACCTCTCGTACTGAAAATCAAGCGATTCCCCCTTCTTGCTCATCACACTGAGGTTATCTGGTCTGTACATTTGCTACTAAACCGTTAGCTGTAGCGCCCTTCAGGTGCCTAGCTGCCATGCCACCCGAAGGAAGCACGAGGGCTGGGATACTGCCAGGTTGCCCAAGCCTAGACAGGGGAAGTCGAGAGGCAGAGGTCGGGTTCGAACTACGCGGTCAGCAAATTCGCGCTCTAACCACTTGGACCATCTCGCCCCCATGTTCTACTAACCCGATAAATGTAGTCGATCCTTGGGCTTGCCTAGCCGCTTCATTTTCTCAGACTACTTAGGTAAACCGGTTCCGATTTACTAGTGGACGATTTCGGGGGAAACGCGGCGAGTTCCTCTTTAACTTCCATTAGAAAATGTGGTCTTATTTGTCCATGGTAGAAAATATATCATTTTAAGGTGGTGTTTTATAAAATTGTGTTTTGTTGTCGTTCGGATGTTCCAGACGTAATTACTTCTTGGGCAGGGGAGCCTGCTTATCCTACATATGCTCGGCATGTTAAAATCTTCCCGGATGATTCGAGGGGAGTGATATCATTTCACGGTGCACGTTGTTTATCCGAACTAATGAACCGATTAGAGAATATTCAAAGCTTCGATAACTACGTGTCCCAGTGCAAGTGTATGCGAAGCGACACGACGGAATGTCGATTTTCTGTTGTTTCCCTTTCGCCTTTGAACATATATTGGTGATGAGTACAATATCAGTTGAGCATTTTACATTTCACGCGGCTATTGTGCGCTTTCTCTACCTCGAATGTTTAGTTTTTTTCCCAAAACAGCAGATTCACATTGAAAGTGAAGATTGCCTACGACTGCCGATCTACTCATTGCCTGAACGATGATCACTACGGATTAGGTTTAGCCTCAGAAGTCGTTGGAATGTGCGGTAACCTGTTTGTACCATGACCCCCGGAAAAGCGCTTTGCTTTCCGGGTAGTAGAATCCTAGTGCTCACTCAACGGGTGTTCGGACAGCAGTTTTTCGGGCTGAAATTGCCAGCTAGCCTCATTGAGTGCGTGGGAATCTAGGTTTTAGGTCTTACACTAATTGGGGATCGATACTACTTGGGAGCTTGCTGTTTTAGCATGCTAATGCGCATAATCTACCTACGCGGAGAATTAAGCTATCTGTGGGAGATCTAAGCTTAACGGTACATAACAAGGATCTAAGACTGGTGAAAATATATGGGGTATCATACCGAAGTGATCAGACGGTCACTCCTATTGACCAGCTCATTATAATCATGTAGCAAAATTCGGAGCTTTGAATTGTCCATCAGTAATAGTAATATCGACGTTGAAGCGTTGAGGTGCGTGTAGTTCATAAGGACACCTCAAACACTCACCGAAGTAGCCTTGTGAGGATTCTGCAACATTCAGCGGTAATCAGCACAGCCCTTCCCGCTCCAACTGTAAACCTTCCCAAAATTCCGGTGAGAACAAGCCATACTGCACATCAGCCGCTGGTAGCCAAACGCTTATGTATCCGGCCAGCGACCGGAAAGTCGAGGGACGGAAACTCTATGAAGGAATAGAGAAAACGCTTCTTCGGACCCCTAGAGATTACCCAATGTCAAACGGTATGTAAAATGAAACCGGAAAGGTTATAAAACCATCGGAGCAAATCATTGAGTCATTCTCAGATTCCCGTAAGCATGTGGTTCCCGTGAAGTCAGACAAAACGCCGAGATGGCCTAGTGTGAACAAGCTGATCATTTGGTGATGTTTGCAGAAAATTCCTAACAACCCCTATACCACATTGCTCATTTGCTGGTTGGTACAAAACGCATGACACTCGTACAATAGGTTTATCGTTCACGACTTCACCATACGGTCATATGCGTGATTAATAGAGCAGTAGGTGAGGTATTTGAAAACAAAACATACGTCGCGATGGATGTACGACAAGCATACACAGCGACGACAGGTGGTCTATGCGGGTGTTCCAAGTAGACAAGATACTCGAATCGCTTTTGACTGAAGCTGGGGGCATTCGAAAGTATTAGCAGGCGCAAATCTTGGTGGCAGCAGACGAAATGTCGGATGAGATGCAGGGGCATGGTGCTCCGTGGGAGGCCTTTGCTGTCGGTCCACCAGGCCAGTTACTTCGCAGGGCCAGACACTTTTCGCGATCAATGAAAATGCTGTTGTTCTTCACGGCCAGTTCGGCTTCTTTGGCACTGCGGAGTCGAAGCAGTTCTTGCAGCACATCTTGTGCGCGGCACAGTTGTTCGTTCAGTTGTCGAATCGTATCTTTGAGCTGAGCCACCTCACATTTGAGTCTACAATGAGAGAATGATGTGCGTGTGTGTGTGTGTGTGTGT